CTCTCTCTCTCTCTCTCTCTCTCTCTCTCTCTCTCTCTCTCTCTCTCTCTCTCTCTCTCTCTCTCTCTCTCTCTCGCTCGCTCGCTTGCTCGCTCACACACACACACACACACACACACACACACACAATGCAAACAACACACAAACACACATGCACGTGCAGCCACACGTATGCATTTAAAAACGGTGGAGTGGGACAAAGAAACCACGCAAAAGCACTGCAGACTGCTCTCAACAGGGTACGGATCCAAGTTAACAGGTGCCAGAAGCGAAGAAAGGTCAAAGATAGACGTGAACAGGTAGAACAGAGCAACAGGAGTCTGCTCCAGGCCAAATCTGGAGAAGAGGTTAACAGAGGCGTAAATTTTTTGGGCTTTTTAAGGGTCATTATAACAAATGTCCGACACCTTTTAAAGCCAGACTTGCCACCAGTCCATAGAGTGGACACCAAATAAACCAACAGCCAAAAAAAAAAAAAAAAGTACGATCCTGGGGCTGAAAAGTGAGGGTCCCTGTTAACCACTTGTGATTAGAAAAAAGAAGAAAAACAAAACCAGTTCAGGTCTCTTTACACGTTGTACCCATCAACTTTCACAGACACCACATCTCCGTACACCATCTGATATCCAAGAAAAATGAAGATATAGACGACAGATATATATCGTCAAACAGAGCTGCCCGGTAAACCATAGGCAGAGAGGGAGAAGAGGACAACAAACGAGGGGCTGTGACACACATATATATATCATCAAACAGAGCTGCCCGGTAAACCGCAGGCAGCGAGGGAGAAGAGGACAACAAACGAGGGGCTGTGACAAAATGTTTTGTCAGAGTTTCATTGACTCATCAGGAGGCTGAACCCTTATATATATCGTCAAACATATACAGAAGTACGTAAGCAAAGTGTGGAGCACCATTCCACAAACACCATATCCGGTGTTACACCATAATAAGACAAAACCATCACAAGATCAAGCAGAGACCCGATGCAGCGGCGCAATTACCTGAAATTACGTTTTCTCTTTCTCCGAGCAATCCATCTGCACCTACCCTGCCGGTAGTCAGCTTTCTTGACGAAAGCACCATGATGTACTGATCAGCAGCAGTGGGAGACCAACTGAACTCCCTTATCCATGTACCTTGTGAAGAAACCATTCGCGATCCAAACGGGTTGGTCTTTTTCTGCAAGAGGAATAGCAAACCCAACAAAAAAAAGACACGGAAATCGACCAAAATGTGTGGACCGAAATTCACCATCAACTCCGGAAATGACCTTAAGTACATATATAAACCTCCCCTTCCAAGTCCATCAAATCGGCATGAACAGTCGGCATCCAGGATTTTCTAGACATCTTCAGACAAACTTTGGCAATATGATGGTACTGTTATGTACCCGATTGAACTTCAATCCACAACGAATTCACACGTGTTCCCATTCACGCATGCAATTGCAGAGTGTAGACTCAGAGGAGGAAAATCCACACAAAACCGGAGAGAAGACATGCACAGCAGAAGCTCAAAATACACATGAGAGAATTGAAAAACGAATTTCAATTCTGCAATCCCCCGTCCTCCTCCAATCAATTCAGAGTACTTGTTCCAAGAATCACAACCGTGTTTGTTTACAACGACCCCGAACAACCAAAAACAATTGTTCAACGAAGTATGCAGGAGTCTTCTTCTGCAGAGTGTAGACTCAAAGGAGGAAAATCCACACAAAACCGGAGAGAAGACATGCACAGCAGAAGCTCAAAATACACATGGGAGAATTGAAAAACGAATTTCAATTCTGCAATCCCCCGTCCTCCTCCAATCAATTCAGAGTACTTGTACCAAGAATCACAACCGTGTTTGTTTACAACGACCCCAAACAACCAAAAACAATTGTTCAACGAAGTATGCAGGAGTCTTCTTCTTCCGCCTCGCCACCTCATACCCCTGGCTATGGCTGCTGTAGCAGCGATAACCCCACAGCTGTCACAACGTGCCAATCTGAACTGGCAATCCCAATGATAGCAGCGCCAGCATGTACACAGCAACCCTCTGTGTACAGATTCTACAGAATATCCATTAGGTCCTCCTAAGGAAAGACATGGGATTATTACTCAGATAATGTGAAGAGGGGGTAAAGTATTACCAGATGACTGAAATGACCATACACTCTTTTCAAGGAAGGGGTTAGTCCAACACTCAAGCCCATATCCCAACAGATTATGAATTGATTTGATCTGTTGGCTTCCCCCCCTAATAGAATTGCTTTATTTTCTTTCTTAGATCCTTCCAAGTAGAATTGAACTTGAGATCATATACTAGCACATTATGAATGAATTTGCCTGTCTAATGTATATTTTACTATCTACTTGCCCAGGTGGAATTCCTTCCCCCCCCCCCCCCCCCCCCCTTTCTTTATTGATCTCCTGACTGGGACTCGTTTTCACAGCACGAACACAATACAAACAGGTTCTAATCATGGACAGACTTGTTCTCTATGGCAGGTTCTAATCATGGGCAGACTTGTTCTCCACGGCAGGTTCTAATCATGGACAGAGGCAAGATCTTTGGCCTCGCTCCACTACGCAATATTCTAAATGCAGACTGATTCTGGCCCTGAGACATTTAGAATGTTCTGTGGTGGAGCAAGGCCCCATGTTCTGTGTGGTCCAGATACATATCGTTGGTCCCACCCTGACAGTCAGCTGCTGACACACAGAGTCTAATTGTGCTCACCTCGTCCGTACAATCGTGGACAAAATGCTAGACAGTAATTTTCCTTCTACTTCTGTATGTAGTTACCCCCCCCAAAAAAAATACTATACTACCTATTTTCATCCGACTAGTTCCGGGTTCGAATCCCGGGCAACCCATTACTTGAACGTGATAATCAACTTCAATGTCAATTTTTCCTGAATTTCTCTATTCGAATAGAGAAATTCAGGAAAAATTGACATTGAAGTTGATTATTATAATAAATAGTTGCATCATGAAAGGGCAAATCGTATATAGCATGCATAATCAATGTCATCCCTACTTGGACTAATCAGAAAAATGCATGCAGAATATTGCTGACGGGCACATTTTTCTCCACCTATTGTGAATTTCCACCCTTAGCTGACGAAGACGCAGCACACACACACACACACACACACACACACACACACACACACACACACACACACACACACACACACAAGATAATCAATAGCAAACCATGCAGGAATTGAACTCTGGACATACCTCCTCCACAAGATCATGCATGTCATAGAAGTGGAGTTTCTCCCGTGTGCAAACTGCCAACGTGAGGTCGTCACAAGACAGTTTAAGAATGCGGATGCCGGGCAAACCAACTCGCACAATAGCCTCATCCGCTAAAACACCTGGACAAGCAGCAGCATCTGTGCTCTCCCTCAAAGCCTGAGATGCTTGCAAGATCACCTGTGTTTTCCCAGCATAAAACCCTGCAAAATGGCCGCACACACAATCATGCAAATGGATGCCCACACACACACCCAGAAATTCAGACACACATGCGTAGGTCGATATGGATCCAAAAAGAGATTGAATATCCCCACAGCTGTGCCTGAGAAAAACAACGACGTTATCACCTTGGACAATGCATCACAATGTGAAAGAGAAAAAAGAGGCAAGTGGGTTGTAAGGGGAACAGGGGAGGCACGTGGATTGGCTAGACGGACAGGGAAGGGCCAAGCAGGGGGATACGGGGTGTGCAACCTTTCAACCAAACACAAGGGTATCAACTCGTTGCCTCAACCATGATTGGGGTAGGGGAGAATCAATCTTCCAGCTCCTTGACGTCAGGGATGATGGTTGACTTGCAATTTTGTTGAATAGAAATAAGATCACCACTGGAAACTTGGACGAAGAGCATCGGTTTGTTGACGTCAGCAATTAGGGGGACAAGGGGCTTGAAAGCTTTTGCAGTCAACGCGCAGCAGCTGGTGGGAGTGGGGCCGGCGATGAGGGGGGTCGGCGGTGAGGGAGGTGGGGGAAGAAGTTATTAGGGGGACAAGGGGCTTGCAAGCTTTTGCAGTCAAAGCGCATCAGCTGGTGTGAGGGGGGTCAGCGGCGAGGAAGGATTAGGGGAGTGCAACCCTTCGCAGACAAAGAGGGTCAGCTCGTTGGCGTTGGCCATTTCGCAATGAAGGATTGAGATGTGAACAGAACGTTGAAAGAGATGAGGCTCAACTCGTGTGCACAGGTATAAGCAGCATCCGCAAGTCATCTTGTTTGACATTATTCCACATGAAAAACGAACGAGTGGAAGACAGTCTATAGCCTGAACGATATGTTATTGCTATTCTATCCTGTAGCACGCTATGCATAGCACAAAATAGAATACAAGCAGCATAGTCGCCATATAGCAGAGGCCAACGCAGTACATTGCAGCATAAAAACAGAAAGTCCACGTAGCAAGCAAGCCATCGCATACTTGCACAAAATGTACAGTGCATAGGATGGCACTGCATAGAATAGCAAAGCATAGCATAGCATACCACAATACAGTGTATATAGCATAGCATAGGACACCATATAGCATAGCACACAGCACAGCATAGGACATAGCATAGCCAAGGATCGTGTATAGCACATCATGCTAATGCTAAAACACGGATACTGTATTCTGAAAGGCACACAGTCGAAAGCACACATAATACACTGTAGCACGGTGTAGAATAGCACAGCAAAAAACACAAAGAAGAAACACACAAGAACACAGACTTCTAGCATAGCAACGGCACTGTACACCGCCTACCCGGAGCATACCATACCATGCACGGCCGACCGTCATCCTGGCTGGTGCGGTACCGAACCTAAGAGTACTAGCTGGTTAATCCAATAGCACGCTTGCTATCCATCACATGTTTCTAAAGCTCTCTCTCTCTCTCTCTCTCTCTCTCTCTCTCTCTCTCTCTCTCTCTCTCTCTCTCTAACTGATTAATCCAATAGCACGCTTGCTATCCATCACATGTTTCTGAAGCTAGCTCTCTCTCTCTCTCTCTCTCTCTCTCTCTCTCTCTCTCTCTCTCTCTCTCTCTCTGTGTGTGTGTGTGTGTGTGTGTGTGTGTGTGCGTGTGTATGTGTGTGTCACGTTTTCGAGCGTATGCATGCCACTCTGAAAGGAAACTTCATTGCATCTTCGCACGACCCCATGCCATCATCCAGCTCACCACAGTGCAACGTCACCCAATCACCATGGCCTGACAAGGCATAGTCATGAGAAGTCATAAGCCATGTCACCCAATCACCCTCCGCCCTTCTCTCAACCCTCCATCCCGCTTCCTCGAGAGCATTTCCCACTGTTTTCAATCACCATCCGTTAACCGACAAAGCAACGATCATTTCACACCGTTTGATCAACGGCTCACCCAGCTGACTCATTCGTCAATATCTACTATCTTTTTCTTTTTTTTTGTTCATTTCGATATCTACCACCTTGTTTCCTTCTCCCTTTTTCCTTTGGCAAAGGAATTCGACCGATTCGTCGGACCACGTGGAAAAGGATTAGTAAACGAAATTTGGCCGATTAGCGGATCCCCGTTGCAAATGATCAGTAAACGGGTTCGGCGAGCGGCGATCCACGTGGCGAAGGTCGTGTTCAGGATCTTGAACGCGGATACAACTACTGAGTTTTCCACAAGAGAATGAGAGAGGAGACACCCACCAGAGAGTTTTCCACAAGAGAATGAAAGAGGAGACACCCACCAGAATATCCATTACGTAACTCATATGCTCTTCTCCTTTTTCCTTTGGTGGGTTTGTGTGTGTATGTGTG